CAGTGTATGGGTAGTTTCGAGTTGAGTTGGGCCTCTTAAGTCTCTAATTTAAGTGAGATAAGTAGCACTAGTGCATACGCCTACTTGCCACTGCACTCCATTCTATTATAAGCAACGTGAGGAGGAGGTAAAATAATTAATATAAAGGAGCAGGCTCCTAGGGCAGTCGTATTGTAGCAAATAGTATTTTAGGTGAAAGGCAAAATCTCAAAAGGCCTGTATTGCATAGAAAGTGATTTTATCCTATTTATTATTTTGGCCTTGCAATATGAGGTTGGTCGGTAACAACTTAGTCTTTTAACACGATCTAACTTCTAAGATACTTAATGGGATAAGGAAACCTAAGCGGGGTAAAACTACGACCTATTCTGTATGATAAAAGGTTTTGGGATAAAAGGCAGTACTTATTCCATAGTAAAAATAAAAGCCCATCGATTCATCGTTAGCAGACAAAATAAGAGGTATTAAGGTGCCAAAGTGAGATGCCATTTCCAGTTATACAGCCGTTTGCCGGGCTGTATATTCACCATAATTAATAGTTTTCTACTAAGTTATTCATCAAATTATGAAATATTTGCAGTCCTTCCATATAATGTATGCCTAAATACAAGTCAACTTAAAAGTAATGACTCCGACGAGTATAACTAGTTAGTACAATCTTCGCAAATAAGGCTTTAGAATGATCAATGTAGGCATACCTTTAATTTGATTTGGAGAGGCGAGTGAAAAGAATTTTTTTAATGGCCTAACCAGAAGCTTAATGAGAATTCCTCTAGTCAATTACTGTAGATTTGTGGGAATACGTCTTCGGAGCCACGTTCTGCGAGCCAGATGAACCCCTGCTGAGCTTTCATCTGTCATGCGACAGACATCGTCAGAACGTAAAATCATGCCTTACAAGGGCTGACTAAACAATAGCATATCAAAATTAAAATTTTACTACACGGGTTCGATTCCCGTTGGGATGATTATTAGGCCTGATAAGGATATACACTAGAATACTCTGGACTAGGGTACCTTCTGGAAAGCAAGGTAGAACCTACTCATATAATTGTGGCAAAATTCAACACCTATCCTGTATCAATTTAAACTATCTAGGATGAGTATGGTTATCATTCCAGTATGCTTAGAAGGCACACTTTTTACGAATACACGAGATGCTGTTGACTCCAAGAAAGTGTGGCACACCAATAAAATGCATGCCGAGGAGGTAGTCGCACAAATATGCAGTCACAACACCATGGCAACCCTCCTTCGGCATACTGCAAGGCCAATCCAAAAATCCCTTCAACTCGCCCTGTCAAATGGTATAAAAGATGCGCAAGCATAAATCTCTTAAGAGATCCCTCAAAACCCAGCCTATTCATATTTTAAAAAGATAAGCATTATTTATGCGACCTAGGCTTATTAATTTAAAAGTATGATTCACAAAAAAGAAGGACATTAAGGCCGAAAACGCTGCGACCAAACAGAAGACTACAGCATCGTGGTCTTCATACCTACTAGAAAACATTTAAGTCAAGCTCAATGCCTAAACAACTCGATATAAGAATACTATAAACATTAGGCCAGAAAGCGAGGAGGAGCACAGTTGTAGAGTTTAAAATAGATATAAATATATCAATGGCTAGAAGTAGTTTGATTGGCCTAAGCACTTCATGAAAAAGTACAAATGATCGAAATCTTTTAAACCACTTTTAGCTCACTCCTCAATAGTGTTAAATACGATGCAAATCAAGGTTTAAGTGTTCAAAGTGTAATCAAAGGGCTTAAAAAGTCACTTCGAACAAGAATTGTAAAATATTGAATATAATCTTATAGTCAACACTTTTATTGGGTGATAAAATGCCTTTATTAGTATACATCTTTAAAGAATTGTTAAAAATTGTCTCGATTAATAAGAAGCAAAAATATAGCAACGAGTCCTTAACAGTATTTAGTAGAAATAAAGATGCGAAGCCATAGTACCAAATGGGGAATAAATAGGTTTTAATAATGAACTATAAATCAAAGTAGTGGTAAAAAATCTACAATGAAATCACCTTGTGGTAATGGATTAAGAAATACAAAGTAATATAAATTTCGCAGTTGTTAATATACTTTTATAAGAGCAAGAATCATTTTAGATGCCTTAAGATGATGCAAGAATTGGTATTTGACTTTACAACAATGGAATCAGTCGAAGGACTCAAGATAAAAATGAATTTGACTTAGACTTGCCTCCAAAAAGGCTTTTACATCCTGGCTTGAATTTATTCTCGGCTTCACCTGTGTTTCATCACCACTGTCAATGAGATTCAAACCTGGGTTATGCGCGTATAGCGCCAACGTTACCTTTTCATCGCATAGTTGAGAGTTACGTAGAATCACAGTGTAGAAATGCTTTTCAAGGTAAGGCAAGTAGGGCAAGGCAATTCGCATTTATAGTTGGACTAGTTTAGGTAGGACGAACGAATATTTTCCATTAGTCTTGACGATATCGCTTAGGCATAGTAATGTTAGAAGGTCTTTTATATGCGAGAGTTACCTTGGCTCATCTAAGGTTATACAAGCCTTAATTATTGAGCGAAATGAGTTTAGTTAGTGACATGTTACAGGGTAACGCAGCTTGTCGAGGGTGCTCATGAGATCCATGGGAGGTTGAGATTGCAATCCATCTTGGATAACAAGATATTATGAAAAATGGGACTAAATAAACTTCCATAGCATTGTGAGGTCTTGTACTTATTGAAATGTTGGAAACTATGCTGGACCTAAGATGACTTAATTTATTATAATTGATTACTTTTAGCATGCAAGTAGAGTTTCGAGACTACCAGTAAATCAGTAATATGATATATATTCACCTTATTTCGGTTAAGGTGATGAAGGACTGGTACTAGAATTTTTCCACAATGATATTAGTTGAGCTGACGTTTCCAATGAATTTCACATAGCCCTGCTTTCCCAAGGTGGACTGCAGTTTCAACTTCGCATAGTTCCTGCAGTCCACCCTCGATAAGAATAACTTTTGGGAAAGCAAGGCTATGTAAAATTCAATGGAAACGTCAGCTCTATTCATATCGTTGTGGGAAAATTCTATTGTTATTCCTTCCTCACCTTAAACCAAATAGGGTTAATACATCGCATATAAATGAGTAGCATAAAACATAAATAGTTCAAAATTTTTTATAAAGGTGGACGCGGTTTCTAAGTAAGTTAGTTAGTACTTCAAAATAATGACCGTGTTTTTTGGGTAAAATCATCTGATCTAACAGAAAAAGGCTAACACTTGAAGTAACTATGTCCCTTAAGTTAAAAACCTATAACAATAGTTCATATTCATATACATTAACCTGTGTTATAATAAAACGACAAGAAGAAACAGCCACATTATTAAGCCCAACTTCTTACATATATAACTGATGATATTACCTCAAGTAGGATATATTTATTAGATAAATGAGTGCTAGATTTGCTGAATTATGCCCTATAGACGTTCCAAGAATTTTTGGCCGAAATTATATCTAAATAACGAAATAATGTAAGATAGTAGTTTAAAAATCTGTTACAAATTGAACTCGTAATTGAACCTTAATCTTTTTTTCCATGCTGAATTTTGGTACATTGAGCAAATGCTAATCAGGGTTAGCCTTAATGCTACTCTTGCGACCAAAAAATGTATTCATACAAATAAGTGTTTAGATTTAGAAAAAAATTTATCCAGTAATTATAAAAGTATTTACTTGTATATTTGGGAGAAAATATAAAACGTTGACAATCTGATTTCGATCTTGAGAATGAGCCATGCAAAATACGATAACCCTACAATTGTGGCTGCTAATTTTAACCAAAAAAGTAAACTGAATTGAAGACTTAAGCATCTGAGAAAATATTTGACTTTGGCGTGATCTAGGTTTCGTGACGTGGTTGGGGTGAGAGGGAGACCATGTAGAACGTTCCTAGTACAGGTTGCATAAACGAGGACAGACCAATGCAATACAGCTAAACTAGCTGGCAAGAACCTAAGGTTGTTGCAAGTTAAATTGCATTTAGGAAAAAAAGATATTACTAAATCAAGCCTATTTGTGAAAGGATTTAAGTTTAGCTTACAAATGTTAAAATGGTGGAAAAATATAAATACGAACCCTTAAATGAGTATTTAACCTTGAAAAAGGAATGTGATTTGGACGCTCAAAGTGGGGGGGGGGGGAATTCCCCGTTAACTATCCATCTTAGTTATTTTAATCTAAATATTGCGGTGTGAGCTCTATATTTTAGAGTAGCTGAAATGCTAAGGAGTGTGATAGTGTCCCCATTGATGCGAGTGATTTTTTCACTAAAGATATCGGATGAAGTAATGGAAATTATATAAGTTGAAGGAAAAGTACAAAGTGATGATGGTGATTTGAACGGCCACTATTAAGTTGGTAGACAAAAAGTATTTGACGAGGCGTAATGACGAATCGGATAGAGGAGGATAAAAAGCCAGAAAAATTGGAGGCAGCAGGGAAGGCCGAATGTGGGATTTAATGCTAGCTCTCCGGCAGTTTCCTTGGCACATATTAGCCTCTTCATTATTGCCAGTTAGTGGAAAATACCCATACTGTATGATCGTGCCCAGCGGTGAATATCACATATGATGAAATGGAAGCTGAAAAAATTAACCTGTTGACCCAACTTAGGAGACAGTAGCGTTTTCTGTAAACAAGTACGAAAAGATGAAGAGCGGTAAAGTGAAAAAGAAGAATCGTATGAAGAACAGGTGTCCGAGGTGAGGTAAAATGCCATCTGGTCTCCCCTACAGCTAAGAATTTTAGATTTTTAAGCAGCAAAGGGCAAAATCGACTGAATGAGGACGTGAATACATGTGTTCATGCACGTGTACAAATGTGCATGTGTGAATTCGCAGGAGACGGGGAAGCAGGCAAGATGTTGATGCGCGATTCTACATCTGAAGCACTATGGCAACATTTGGTCGCTAGAGTGGAGGAACTTGTCCAGATGGGAAATCTTGCACGCTAGAAGCGGACAGACATCCGACTGCCTTCGGAAAATACGCACATATACAGACGAGCCCATACACAGACACAGACACAGACACAGACACAGGAGAAAACAGGTGAACGTGTATCTGATACTGGCCGTATGACAGACTTGTCAGTAAACCCAAGACCTCGATATCTCATGGTCAGTGAACGGCAAGATGGCCGGATCAGGCGGGTCGCAGTGGGTGGCTGGCGACCGAGACGGCGCACCGGCCAGACGACAGGTGGGCTGACCGCAGACCCTGTCAGCCCCAAACAAGCCGGTCGAAAGGGGACCATCTCGCCGACAAGCAATCGATCACAACAAGCAGGCGACATCAAATAAACTCAGCCTTGGCAGTGCAGCCGAGGGCGAATCTGCCGAGGGC